AACATCCTGCGCGTACAATCACCGAACTGAGACAAAAGCTTCAAGAAATATGGGATTGTTTTACACCAAATTTTTGCCAAAACTTGGTTAACACTATGCCCCAAAGAATTTCAGCCGTAATAAAAAATAAAGGTGATGTTACCAATGGTAATCATTTATTCGCACATTGTTTATTTGTTCAGATGTTCTATTAGTTACAGCTCTAAGTGATTTCAAATATGTATTTTTTACGACTAGAGTGTATCTAAAATGTTTTTGAGAAAATAAATTATTTTAGAAGTAAATAGTTTCGTCATGTTTAGTTTATAAAGGCATATTTTGGTACAAATCTTGAAGTGGGCCCACTGAAGTGGGAAGGGGCTCGTATATCTCCATAACGAATAAAGACTCTTCTGGTTGCAGAACGTAATGGGAATGATTTTTCAAAATTCGAATGTACAGTTGTATAGTGCATCTCGATATTCCCTTTTTTAGCAACAGAAACATATGTATTACATAACAAACATACATGTTTCCCTTTAACTTTTATAAATAAAAATTCCAGCTGACCAAATAGCTTATAAAGATATGTCTGGAAACAAGGAGAGGGTAGAACAGCTAGCATGGATTGGCTTCAAAATAGAAAACCATAGAATGAACCGTCCCCTTTAGATTGCTGCAAAAAGTGTGATCCTCTCCGTGATGCAGAGACCTTCGTCGAACGTCGGTTCTGTCTTTTCGATCGTTCCACGCTGCCGATCAGAACAGAGATTTACTGAGATTCGTGCAAAAATCCGAGGCGGCGGTGTGGGTGCGGACCGGAAACCGGAAATGGACCGCGATTACGTCTTCTTGGGGCCGTTCGACGGGCAAAGGGGCCCAAATCGAATTGTGGAGAACGGAGGATAGAAAAAGAGAGAAATAATCTCTCTTGATATAGATGACTAATCATCTGGACTGACAAGCTACTCAGAGGATCTCAAAATGTTTTTATCTTGAAAACCAGCAAGACTAGCGATATGAGGTTAAACTACGTTAGGGATACACGTATTTGTATGAAGCCAATCCTGTGGTTAAGGACGGTGTGGCTCTCAGAAATCTAGAGGGCGGATAACATGGCGTCTGCGCTTTGAAAAATATCAAAAATGTCAACAATTGCCATGAATATACGAGGCGTGTTTTTAAAGTAAGTACCGTTTTGACCTAAAAAAACAACAAGTAAATTTTGTCCAAAAATGATTTATTCACTTGAAAGGCCATACTTTACTCTACTTTTCTACGTAATTCCCATTACGCTTGAGGCATTTATCGTATCTTGGGACCAGCTTTTGTATGCCATCGTCAAAGAAGCTTGCCGCCTGAGTAAACAACCACTGCTTCACATTTTTGGCACTCAGCGTGAACACAGTTTCCGATAATTTAAACGTTCGAACACAATTCGTAAAGAACACTTCTTGAGACAGCAGGAAACTGTTCAGCTAAGGACGAAATCGTGAATCGTCTGTTCTCTTTCACTTTACAGTCCACTTTTTGAATCAGGTCATCGGTATGACTGAAGGTCTTCCTCATCTTTAAAGGCACTAACCCATTTCCGCACCATTCCATCGCTCATAATGTTTTCACCATACACTTCACTGACTTGGTGATGAATTTCAACTGATTTGAAGCCTTGTGCACAGAGACACCGTATTACAGCACGCACTTCGCAGTCGGCGGGATTCACAATCGGTGGAGGCACTTTAAAATCACGCAAACAGATGTAGACTCGATCGGATGGTTCCGTAACGGCGTCTGTAGCTACCCAACAGATGTAGCTACACGCCGCGCGTGCGCTAAACGGCGACCGCAGCGCTGCGGCGGCATAATTTAAGCACGGTACTTACTTTAAAAACACGCCTCGTAGAATAAATATACAGGGTGACTTCGAAGTTGAGTCATTTATTTTAACAGTGAGTAGATCTGATCAAAAGAAATGTTTTTTTCCTTTACCATTTTTCTGGTAAAATTAAAGTAACAAAGTTATAGCCCTTTGGAAGTTTGAGTACCGCCCTGTCTCAATGTGCTCGTGTTTGGCGACAACGGATATAATCCGTCGTATTGGTTCATCGCATCGGAAACAAAAAAGCGAAAGAATTTGGAACGAATTATTTCATTCATTTGTATACAGTCAGCGTCAGTGAATAGTTGTATCTGTTGCGTGGCTCAAACGAAATAAAAAATGGCACATGTTTATGCGGATCGGTTTCCCAATCGAGTGCAACCAACCCCTCGTGCCTTTGTTAATGTAGTACAACGGGCTCGTGAATCAGGTGACTTAAGACCTCACAGGGGACCTCACGATCAAATACAGGTCCGCACTGAAATACTTGTCGGGAGGATACTTTATAAAACAAGGTAAAAATTTTTTTTTTATTTTTTTTTTTATTTTTACACACATATTTTGGTTTATATTCCTTCTACAATCATTATCTGAAAATTAATGACTCAACTTCAAAGTCACCCTGTATACAGATAAATAGCTTTATACATCTTTTGTTGCGTCTACTGAACTTCTAACAAAATTTATAAAAATTTCCTGAATGCTTGCCGAATTTATCAGTTGTTTTCTATTTATATGAAGTTAATGGAGACAGGCACAGACTGGTTACTCCTAACCATATTACAATCAAATTTTCTGTTTTTCTAAAGCCATGCAGGGTCATTCCTAATTATATTTCAATTGAGGTTCATGTTTTTCCAAATTCTTAAATATATTTGGGGCTATTGTGAGGATGTAGCCATTATATATACAGGGTATTTTTGAAAAATTGGAAGAATATTAATGTCAATGGGGCAACGGCAGCTAAGATATTTCCAAGATGGTGGCATTTCCGGTTATACCGGAAGTTGATGCCAGCTTGCTTTATTACTTAATATTCGGATTCTACATACAGGGTGTCCCAGAAGTCGACGTCAAGCCGAAACTGGGTGATAGGCAAAGTTATAACAGCTATCAGAAAAATATTTAAAAAAATCTTATGTATGTGTTTTGAAAATTATAAGTCTTTGAAAAAAATATAGAAATTTCACACCCTACGGCAGCCTGTCAACTCCTGTTACTACAAATATTAACTTTTTTTGGATTTCATTTTTACAATGTAATGATGAATAATGCATCTTCAAATTGGTGTCTCAACCTTACTGCCAACTTTTCGCGTTCAGGAAAAATTGACACTTATTTCCCAACCAAGTATTCCAAAGTAAAACTTTGCTCAACTTTAACTGGCTGTACTGAAAAAAAATGTACTACGAGAGTTTGGCAAGTAACCTTAAAAGTTGGCGCATTTAATAATAATTCCAAAATGGTATAACACTTAGAAGATTACTCGTTAACTTATGCACAATTTTTATTTGAAAAAAAAAACTGATGAAAATTTTTCAAAATTTCCTAATTAAACAGCGATTATGAAAACGCACAAGGACCCTTAAGGATAACTGTTTGCACAACAGTGGGCGTCAAAATGCTGCTGATGATAATTTACCTTTACCTTTAAAAAAGATCGGGTTATTAAACGAGCGAATCCACGGTTATTAACAAACTCAGCTGCTTCCAATAGTCTTTGCCGTAGCTCAGCTACATTTTGAATCGGCTTGAAATGCGCTTTTTCTTTTACAGTTCCCCATTAAAAAAATCTAAAGGATTCAAATCAGGTGATCGGGCTGACCACGGTATTGTACCAGACCGCCTTATCCATCTGCCTGGAAAGTTTTGATCGAGATACTCTCTCACTGAGAGTGCATAGTGCGCTGGGCAACCATCATGCTGAAACCACATGTCCCTGTAAATACTCAGTGGCACTTCCACCAATAAATTTTGTACATGATTTTTCAAAAAATCCAAATAAACTTCAGCAGTCAAAGTCTCTGGGAACTCAAACGGACCAATTATTTTACCATTTAAAATTCCTGTCCAATGGTTTATCTTGAAGCGATATTGAGATTTATCTTCTCTCATCAAATGTGGGTTTGCTACGTGCCACTCGTGTAAGTTATGCAGGTTCATGTACCCATCTTTCTTAAATGTGGTCTCATCCGACCATAAAATTTTTTCAAAGAACTGTGGATCTTTCCTGTGTCTTTCTAACATTGTGCGACAAAAAGCAACTCGGGGCTCATAATCACGGGGCAGGAGAGGTTGAACACGCTGTATGTGGTATGGATGAAGCACATCACTTACTTGCTATTGCACACTTTGATACCGATCAGTTCTCCTTCGTTTACTGCGCATCTTTACATGTTCGTGCTTGTTGATTTCGTACTGTTACTAATTTTGGATCCGTGAACTGGACTGTTGATCGCTTGTGATTTGGATTTGGACTGTTTAATTGCTCTTCAAAACAACATTTGCTTTCCTTAGACTATCTTTGATAGTGTGATTGTGCAGTGCCGCTATGTCCGTGTACACCGTACAAAATATGCTAACATGCACCTCATTTATGGGGAATGCAGATGCAACGCTAGCGTTGCAGCAAGACTTTACTGTGAGAGGTACCAGAATGCAGCTCGTCACCCAGATCATCGAGTGTTCACAAATGTGCACCGCTTACTGTTCTCAGAGGGCCAACTACCAAACCAATCACACGGTGAGGGAAGATCTTTCCTTCCTTACGAAGACGTGGTGCTAGGAGCTGTCGAAGAAGACCCGAGTACTTCAGTGCGTGCAATAGAACTAAAAACAGGTGTGCCCAAAAGTACAGCCCATAGAATCTTGCAAAAAACGTGCTCCATCCATACCACGTACAGCGTGTTCAAGCTCTTCTGCCTCGGGATTATGAGCCCCGAGTTGCTTTTTGTCGCACAATGTTAGACAGACACAGGAGGAAATCTTTCGACGGAGTTCCCGATGCGTCACCCTGTATATCTCGTACTTCCTTCATACTCCATTCGTAGCTCATATTACAATCATCGTACATTTTGTCCCTGTAGCTTCCTTCCTTGACCAAAAATCTTATTATCCGAGCCATTAATCGCATTTTTTATACCCATGTGTTCGTACTCCGTTGCTGATCCTGTACAAATTCTTGCCATGATTTTTGATGACATGACGAAGAGTGTCCCTGAGCATTTATTATTTAAAGTAGACGCGAGAAACTACGGAAAACAAATGACATATTATTATCACTTACAGCGAGAAAACCTGATTCTTTTTAGACCTTTTACTTCGTGGTTTATTAATATTATCCAATATTTCTGCCCCCCCCCCACTCCATGAGTTCAACCTGTCTCTAGTCTTCATTATTAAAAATTTATTTCTATCGAGGCCGCTACAAAAAAAAATACGAGGTTGATTTTTCAAGCAAGACCCGTTTTGTAATGGAGTCCGAGAAACTTTATTTATGAACGTAACTTGTATCACAAACCAAAATAATATGAACATTTGTTCATTTTTCAGCATAGTCCCTAAGGCCCGTATCGTCAGTCGTCCCTACAATTGTAGGGCGCGTTTATGGCCTCCTTGATTGTAGTAATACTCTTTTCTTTCCTTCAAAAATTTCTAGATTACACTCGTCCCGTGTCAGCGTCAGAGCTTTCCTATTATTAAGATATGTTTTCCTTTTAAATTGTAGGAAATTTCAGGCTGATAAAGCATGATAAAACTCAAAAGCAAGCACAATTTGATGCAAATAGATGTTTGTGACATAACCTCAAAATAGAGCGCTGACACGGAGAAGTAGAAAACTATGACAGTCAAGGACATACATGTATGTCAACGAAGAAGACGTAATTGTGTCGAAATCAAGGAGGCCATAAACGCGCCCTACAATTGTAGGGACGACTGAAGGTACGGGCCTAAAACATTCAAACATTTGTCAATTCGTGGCGCCAGCTTTTGGACCACGTTGTCAAAAAACTCTGCCGCCTGATCGTTAAACTAGTTAGTAACTGTTTCTTTCATCTTATTTTCCAAGCGCTTTCCACCTACAAATTTCTTATGTTTTGGAATGAGATGTAAGCCTGATGTGTTAAGTCAAGGCTGTATGGTAGATGATCCAATAATTGCAAACAAAACTTGTCCAGATGTGTCTGTGTTGAACGGACGTCAAGTGACAGGATGAGCAGGCACGATGATCAATCGTGTCTTACTTTAAAAATAGTCCTCGTGCGAAACGTATGTATTTTATACTAACCTGTTTATTTGAAGACTCTTTAAAATCATGCAGCTGCAGTTTGAAGGAAGATCACTGCGTAGTATGATTATGAATCTTAACTTACCTGGAAGAAAAAAAAACTTATTTAGTATTTTTGTTTTGTAGGAGCATTCTACCTACATATTACAAACAATATGTTATTTACTCATAATTCAGCGGCAATAATATTGTCTAGAAAGAAGTAGATATGTTTCTGTATTTTTTTAAGTGTTTGCAAGATCGTAAATAAGATACATAAAAAATGAAGTAGCATGAACATCAGTTACATCTTCATATAAGCCAAACCTTACAACTATAGTGTGTAGGGTCAGCTCTTGAATTGGTAGTAGCAGATATGGTGGGTGTACATCACGTAGTGTTCGTGTAACTTCTGGAGTTCCGCGAGGTTCCTACTTAGGTCCGTTGTTGTTCAATATATTTATTAATAACCTTGTGAGTGGTGAAATTCTTTTATTTGCGGATGTTTTTAAGATTTTGTTGTTATTGGGAACACACATGATGCTGAATTGCTGCAAAGAGACTTAGACATAATTTCTCATTGGTGTGAAGTTAATGTTTTACGTTAAATGATACGAAATCTTTCAAAATTACATTTAGTTGGTCTCGTTCCCCTATTACTTAATCTTAAACCATCAACGTTAGATGTTTACAAACTACATACCAGATCAAGGACTTGGGAGATATTTTTGACTCAAAATTATCATTTAACGTACATATTGAAGAAACAATCAACTGCGCATCTAAGGTGTTAGGTTTTATACATCGGCATTGTGTTTTTTATACAGTTTGTATTGTCCTTTGGTTTGTTCGTTACTTAAGTATTGCTGCTCCATCTGGTCCCAAGTATTAAAATATGGACCAACCAATTAGAACATGTGCAGAAAAAGTTTTTGAGAATCTGTGGATATAAAATGGGTTTTCATTGGGTAGGAGTATAGTCATATTGACTCTTTTCTCTAGATGAATATAACTCTTCATGAGTAATGCAGGTTGGATGTTAACTTAATTTTCTTGCACAAAATTATCGATGGTCATATTGATTGCTCTCAACTCTTAGGAAACATTTCACTTAACGTGAATGATAGGAGAACGCGATATACTGTTCCTTCCTTTGTTCCCTTTCATCAAAATTATGGATTGAATGAATCCATAACTCATCTTCTTAGGTTAGGGAATTGATACATATCCAGGTTAGAAGTAGTTGGAACTTCTGTTAATGAGTTTAAACGAAGTGTTAAGAACATTACAATGGTAGTTCTTTAAATGAAGTCTGTTTTGCATTTGTAACAAAGGTTTTACCCGTTGACTAAATAAATAAATAACCCAAAAGTGCATTATACTGCAGCTAAGTATGCGAATCCGGGCCGGGTCTCTAGTAGTTTCCAGATCGCAAGATTGTCTAATGGGTGCGGAATAATTTTATGGACCTATTTGACCGACATGATGAATTTAGCTCCTATGTTATACATATTCGTAGCAACTTTTTTTCTAAGACGAGTCAACTTGTGCCGTACATGAAATTGTATCTGCAGATTCAACCTGCTGGACGCGACTTTATTAATTATTGTTAATCAAGCGCGCGCTCAATGTTTATTCTGGATGAGCGCGAGAGAAGAGCAGCGTAAAGGCGGCCGCTCATTTAAAAGTTCAAAAAGTAAGGTTTACAATAACAGTACCCACTGAGATTTTGTTAATGGAGCTTAGGAGAATATCTAGTTCGCACATTTTGCACTTTTCCAAATATTAAATCGGTCAACTTTGGAGAAACGTTTAAGATAACCTTTTTTTCCTCAACGTGACCCAAGAAAACTGTGCCCGGGTGAGAGAAAGCAGTTTCTGTAATTTCGTTTGTAATGGGTGATTTTTTTGCTAGTATCTTTTTGGCAACACTGTTTTTGACAGATGACGCGTGAATCGTGTCTTGTGTCATTGTCAAACTTGTTCAGTTTGGTCTATAATTTAACCATGAATCGACTTATGAACGAACAACGCTTGCAAATTATTGAATTTTACTATCAAAATTCATGCTCGGTTAAGAGAGCACTGCTTAAAATTTATGGGCAATTTGGTCGGCCTACTGAGGGAGCTATTCGGAAGCTTGTGACTAAATTTCGAACCCAGTTTACATTATTGGACATTAAACCACCAACACGCAGACCCAGAGTGAGGACTGAAGAAAATATTGCGGCTGTATCCGCCAGTGTTAGTGATGACCGTGAAATGTCGATTCGCCGCCGATCGCAGCAATTGGGCCTCTGTTATTCCACTACGTGGACAATTTTGCGACAGGATTTGAGTGTAAAACCTTATAAGATACAGCTGGTGCAAGAATTGAAGCCACACGACCTGCCACAACGTTTCCAATTTGGTGAATAGGCGCTGGCAAAGTTGGAGGAAGATCCACATTTTTATCGAAAAATTGTGTTCAGCGACGAAGCTCATTTCTGGTTGAATGGGTACGTTAACAATCAAAATTGCCGCATCTGGAGTGAAGACCAGCCAGAAGCATTGCAAGAGCTACCAATGCATCCCGAAAAAATCACTGTTTGGCGTGGATTATGGGCCGGTGGCATCATCGGGCCGTACTTCTTCAAAGACGACAATGGCCGGAACGTAACTGTGAATGGCGAGCGCTACCGTGCGATGATGACAAACTTTTTTTTGCCCAAAATGGAAGAGCTGGACTTGGCTGACATGTGGTTTCAACAAGACGGTGCCACATGCCACACCGCACACGAAACAATGGCCCTATTGGGAGGCGATTTCGGTGAACAGTTGGCCCGTCAATTGGCCGCCTAGATCGTGTGATTTAACGCCGTTGGACTATTTCTTGTGGGGCCATGTTAAGGCTAATGTCTACAGGGATAAACCAGCAACGATTGACGCACTGGAAGCCAATATTGAAGCATTTATTCGTGAGATACCGGCCGATATGTTGGAGAGAGTGTGCCAAAATTGGACCTTGCGCATGGGCCATCTAAAGCGGAGCCGCGGCCAACATATACATGAAATAATCTTTAAACATTAAATTATATCGACCCTTCTATCCACTTAAATAAAGATTTAATCGTTTTTTCAAATCTTTTGTATTTTTTTGAAAATCAAATCCTATACCTCTTAAAAAATCACCCTATACAATGGTTCAAACAGTTTCCACGCAATTTGGGCCCAGCAACATGAATGATTTGTTAAAAGGTGTCTTTTTTCAATAAAATCATGCAAGAAAGCAATTTTTTTCCGAGCTCATGCGATTATACTTTCCGGACTATGTCAGTGATTCAAATGAGGCGGATTGAACGCCCAATTGTTTTTGACCTATACTTTTTATATGTGCGCCACCGCAAATGTTTGCGAGTACCAAGTCAATCTATTTGATTCTGCCTCGAATGGAGACCGTAATCACATGCAGAATAAGTAGTCAATCTCTTCTACTAGATGGGACCGAAACTGAAGTACAAGTTTCAATGCTCCTGTAATTTCGGCATTTTCCATTTCCCATCTATCTTGTAATTCTCACTTCCATTCTCATTATCGGCTAGTAGCGTAGCCCCGTCTCAACACACGCCGTTTTGTGCTGAAACACGATAACTGCTGCTCGGCGACGTTCACGTTAGCGACGCTGCATTCCACAGGCTCACATCCACCTACAGTCCCGATTAATTTTCCGATTTATCTTCAGGGGAAACGGGAATGCTTCGTGTCGAACGTCGGAAAATCAGTGCAGGAGGTTTTCCACCACTGGGTGGATTTTAGGGTTTTTACAGGATATTATGGTGTTCAATTTATTTGTGTTTCTCTTCTAGCTTTGGAAAGAATAGTTCTTCTCCATTTTACTTGCCACTTTCTAAAATGAAATATAGGGTGATTTTTTTGCTAGTATCTTTTTGGCAACACTGTTTTTGACAGATGACGCGTG